AGCCATTTGTTTTGCAAGAGCCATATTACTGTTCATGACTCATGCTCTATATTTCAAGTCTTTTGAAGATCTACAATCATTATATATGAGGAATTTGAGTTGGTTACAGAAAAGTCTTCACATACTCCCTAGCTTATTAGGTCTAAATTGTTATAGATCTGAATTATACAGAATAATGATTAAACTAAGATTAAAATGTGTCTCCTTTTAATATCAGGTACACAATCCCTCCTGGATACATCACCAGTCTTACCTCATGCAGCCCACAGTAAGTTGCAGTTAAACTGCTGCTCTATTTCCTAAAGCACCTCTGCCTGTCTAACTTTCTTTCTCTGCTGGGCACAGGGTACAGTCCTCACGCCCACAGTGGACCACACCATGTCCATCCAGCCCACTGCCATAATAGGGCCTCTCACACAGCAGCTCAGCCATCTAACCCTGGGCAGCACAGGCACGGTACGTCCCCCACAGATGCCCACAGAGAATTCATTACAAACTTCTTGAAAAAAAAAAATTTGTATTGGTCTAATTTTTTATGACTGGCAGTAAATAAGTTTATATTTTTATTTTCTATTTGTCTTTTCAATTAAATTTGGGTTTTCATTGTTAATTTTTGTTTAGTTTTAGTTTTCAGAGTTTTTCTAGTTTCACATTATTTCATTTTTATTTTAGTTTCAGTATTTCAGGGCTACCAGAGTTAATATGCTAACTAGTATCATTTAAAATATTTAACTGCGTTAAATTTCTCATGACAGGTTTTATAATATTACCATGTATCAAAAACTTGTGGCCAATTGTATTTTATTTTAGGTGGTCTTGGTGTCATGAAAATGTATTTTAGTTTAGTTTCAGTTTGTAAGTAAGTAATATGTAAGTAAAATGTAAGTAATATTTGTGTTAGTTTTAGGGCTGCACGATATAACAATGTAAAATCGATATTGCAAAATATGCAGCGCATATATAAAAGTTTGACAGATTAAGATTTGAAAATGAAGAAATTGAAACGTAATTATAGTATTGTAATTTTACAGTGTACTATAAAATATTTTTATTACTTTTATTAAATATTCAATTTATTTTGCAATTAATTGCAATATATTTTTGAATATTTTAAATAATAATCACAATAAAAATCATTTTATAGATTTTAAGAAATATATATATTTTATGGTCATATTGAATGGGTCAAAAACATTGGTAATAGGGCCTATAAAATTCCAGCGAAGAGAGAATATTTTTTTTCTTCACAAAATTCACTGTTTTAAATTCATTACATTTTTTAAGTTTTCCCAAAATTGTTCAGCCCCAAAAGGATGATTCACACTCAAAAAAATTCTGTCTCAAATTAAAAATTAATTTTTCAGCTTTTAAATTATTTTTATTTTCTACCTTTTATTTTTATTATCCCAATCTTTATAGAATGATTCATTCCAAAATATATTTTTTCATAGTGCAATATATCACAGAAAAGCAAAATATCCCATTGTCAGTTTTTTTTCCAAAACCGTGCAGCCCTAGAAATGTTGCGTCACAACAATGTTCGGAATTACAAGAATTATACATAACCATATGCGCAAGAAGTTCATCCACCTAAAATATTACTTTAATGTGTACTATCTGTGGATATCACACATTTGTCAACGTGTGTCCATCTGTCCTCAGTATATGCCTGCAAACACAGCTATGCAAGGGACCTACATACCACAATACGCCCAAGTGCCTCCTTCAAGCATTACAGCCGAGGTATGAAATCCCTGCATGCTGAATTATTCCAAGTGTTTCAAAGCCTGATTCACTGTGATGTATTGTCAGTAATGTTGACCTCATGCCACTGCAGGAAAATAGCGTCCAACAGCAGCAGGTTGCCATAGAGACACTCACAGACCACACAACATACTCCTACCAGCATGGCAAGTGAAGAGGAGGTGGGCTACTTCCTGTTGCTTTGGAAATGTTGTGGTCTGTAATGGAAAGAGAGAGTGAAAACAAAGTGATATTGTATTGGCATATCTACTGTAGCCAAGAAATTATTAAATCAATTCTTCTGGACTAGATGGATGAGTAACTCAAGTTGTTTTATGTTTTTATAAGCTTCTTTTCTCACTCTAATATCTTTCTCTCTCTTATTTTAGTGCATTCATAGAAGTGATGGAGGACTTTGGATACTGAACCACCTCTCTTGACATAAAAACAAATGGACATTGTGAAAAGGAACAGAGAAGTGTGTCTCTTTCCAATGAAAGAAAGCAGACAGTTTTGCAACTTTTTTTTTCTTGGAGAAGACCAACCGATAATGAAAGTAAGTGAAAGACTTGGATGGAGAGAGCTATGACTGCAAGATGTCATAAAAGTTCACAGAAAGCGAAGTAAGCTTTTTTAACACAAAGACTCACATACATGCACACACACTCCAACACACTTTGAGAAATATTTTTCTGCAACTTTATTTTCTAAAATGTTCTGCAAAGCCAGAATGAAACAACTACGATGTTACAGCACCATAATTTGATTTAATGTTTTTGTAAAATTCTTCAAAGATTTTGTTGACTGCTTTTGAACCGTCTGCTGCAAAAGGAGGAATTTTGTACATAAAAAACTGTTTTTGCAAAGTTCTTGCTGCATTTTTCTTGAATATCGATTTAAGGAAATCCTGAGGAACCTGCTGAAAGCAGCAGCTAAGTCGTTTTGATAGAACTACAGAAAAATGTGCTGTATCGAAGAGCGTTGTAAATGCACTCATTGTTTCAAGCAAGTTTGTGTCCAGCGAGACGAGACTGAATTCTGAAACCAAGACCTCATATTCCCTCAAAATGTCCTTTTTTCCCTTCCAAAATGCTGCTTTATCTTGTAAGTTAGGTTATGCTCTGTTTAAATGTTGAGATTTATTTTTGTATTTGAAGATAATTTTTTTTAAGAAAATTTCAAAGAGAAGCTATTTGGATGATAAACTTTTTTTATGGCTTTGTTTTCATGTCAATAGTTCTGTCTTGCCTCTTCATGCATATGGGTTATGTCTTTTCTTTTACGCATTGTAAGGAGTGCTCCTCCAATGTTGTAATGCAGGCCTGTACATTTATTTTTCTTGCCTTGGTGAACTTTAATAGTGAGGAGTGTGTTCTTTGGGCTGTGTCCCCTGAGATATAAAATGGCAATACAATGAGAACCAAGAGAGTTTTTCCCTTATTAGTGGAACACTCCCTCAGTTTCTTTCCTTCCTTCTGAGGTACAAGATTCTGAGACTGGAATAGTGATTATTTGTGATGTGCTCTGTGCATAAATATAAATCCAAGATGCTGAAATGTACATTTAAATTCGCTGAACAGGACAATCGTTCAGTGATGTATGAAATCATACATTAATATGTATATCTATATTAGATTAGATATACATATATTAGATTACTGATGTCCATGTAAACGTAGTGACTGTCGTGAACGCGCGTCCACAAGAACACCCAACAGTAGTGACTACGTTTACATGGCCATCAGTAATCTAATTATTTACCTTATTCTAAATAAACCAATATTATGATTATGGTGTTTACATGAGTGGCTTTTAGAATATTCCTTTCATGTTCCTGTTTTACATGTTATAATACATAGTTCGATTAATGGCACACGTCATTACGTCCCCACGTGACGCCATCCGACGTCCCCTCCGGAATTTTACGTATAAACATAGTTCGTCTTCGTGATGATGCCATGTACAGTTTTGGGTGTTTCATCTTTAATTTTAAGAAAGCTTTAAGCGCAGTTAATTATTTGTACGTGCATTCAGACGATGGCGGTGTTGAAGCTCTTTTATTTGC